CCTGCCCGTCGGGGAGCTCGTAGCTCTTCTCCAGCGAGGAAGAGGAGGCGGCGGTGGCCATCTCGTTCTCAAAGTCGAGGGCCACGTAGCAGAGCTTCTCCTTGATGTCGCGCACAATTTCCCGCTCGGCTGCAGGAGACGATGGCCAACAGGGTCAACCCAATGCCGTGGGGGCACCACAGAGTCCCCCGTCACCCCGTACTCCCCTCCCCAGCCGTACCGGTGGTGACGAAGGAGTAGCCCCTCTCAGTGAGGATCTTCATGAGGTAGTCGGTGAGGTCACGGCCGGCCAAGTCGAGACGCATGATGGCGTGGGGCAGAGCGTAGCCCTCGTAGATGGGGACGTTGTGGGTGACGCCGTCCCCGGAGTCGAGGACAATGCCTGGGAAGGGGGAGGAAGGTGAGGGATGGAACTCGAAGCCACCTTGGTCCCCACCATGGATGGTCCCTGAGCGGTAGACGCCGCGTGTCCTACTCACCGGTTGTGCGGCCGGAGGCGTAGAGGGAGAGGACAGCTTGGATGGCGACGTACATGGCGGGGACGTTGAAGGTTTCAAACATGATCTGGGAGGAAGGGCGAGAGGGGCAGTGGGTTAGTGGGGAGCATGGGGGGTCCCCAGTGGCATCCACACCCCAACCCATGGGATACGTGCCGGCCCGGAGAGACGGGGTTGGGGCATTGCATGGAAAAACACAGATCGTTGCGTTGCACGGGAAAACAGATGGGTCACTGCATTGCGTGGAAAAATTCATGGATTGTTGCATTGCACAGAAAAATACGTGGATTGTTGCGTTGCATGGGAAAATGGCCAGATGGTTGCATGGAAAAATAGGTGGATCATTGCATTGCGCAGAAAAATAGATGGATTGTTGCATTGCATGGATGTGCAGGTCAATGCATTGCACAGAAAAACGCACGGATTGTTGTGTTGCACCAAAAAAAAAACGGGGGTCAGCACGTTGCATGGAAAAATGGGGGTCAAGGCATTGCGTGGCAACAAGACTCGTCGTCTTGCACGGAAAATCACGGGGGGCTGTGCATTGCATGGAAAATACGTGGGTTGGCACATCGCGTGGCAAACCCCGTGGGTCCACGTGTCGCGGAGAAACCCATGGGTCCGCCCGATGGCACCAGCGACAGCTCTGTGCTGAGCTTCACCCCACCGCCCGCTCCTCCAGCCCCCCTGGTTTGCTGAAGCCCCAAATGCCCCCAGCCCCTTCCTGTGGTTTCGGCAGGTCCATCCCCAGCCCTTTCCTGTGGTTTCAGGGGGTCTGTCCCCACCGCCGGGGGTCCCACCGCCCCCAGATACCTGGGTCATCTTCTCCCGGTTGGCCTTGGGGTTGAGGGGAGCCTCGGTGAGCAGGGTGGGGTGCTCCTCGGGGGCCACGCGCAGCTCGTTGTAGAAGGAGTGGTGCCAGATCTACGGTGAAAAAAAAAAAAAAAGGAAAATTGGGGATCTTCCCTCAATTTTTCCCACCCCGGGGGGGGCCCCCCCCCCCCCCCCCGGGGGGGGGGGTCTCACCTTCTCCATGTCATCCCAGTTGGTGATGATGCCGTGCTCGATGGGGTACTTGAGGGTGAGGATCCCTCTCTTGCTCTGCGCCTCGTCGCCCACGTAGCTGTCTTTCTGCCCCATGCCTACCATGACACCCTACGAGAGAGCTTCGTTAGCCTTGTTTTGCTAATTAAAATATAGGGTCAAAGGGGATGGGGGCTGCTGGGCATCCCCTTGGGTACCCACCTGGTGCCGGGGCCGCCCCACGATGGAGGGGAAGACGGCGCGAGGGGCATCGTCGCCGGCAAAACCGGCTTTGCAGAGGCCGGAGCCGTTGGCGCAGACCAGGGCGGTGGTCTC